GCATTCGCCATGCCCTGAAATGCCGGAATCGAGAACTCATTTCCTGGTGGAATGGTCGGCTCTACTCCAGACTGTCGTTCTCGATGGCACGTCGATCTTGGTGCTGACATTCATGATTGGGTTGCACCACGACTAGACGTCGTTCAAGCTCTTCTATTTTCCCCAGCAACTCAGGATTTCCTGCTGGGTTTTCCTGGTCAAGAATTTCTCATGTTTTAACCCCAACTTCCGGTGGAACAATTGCGTCGAACCGCCGATCAATCTCTCACTTGAATTGATCCAATTGGTCTACAAACTCACATTAACTTGAGCGGCCAAGGATTGCAATAGCTCCGTCGTTTTTATTTGCTTCTTTCTTGAATTCTTACTATGGTTGCCGACGATCGATGGGATCTTTTGATCTTGTTCTCGAGGCAAATGGTCCTCAAGCCTTAGGTCTCTCCACTATGTTTTAACCGAGCGTCTGATACCACTTGATGCAACCCTTAAGGCTTGATTTGAATCAGAGCGGCTCATCCAAGGTTCATCCCAAGATTAAATTGAACCTTCAAATAAGAACACAAAAACAGAGGTAGCTTTTGTGTTTAAGATGGAAACTTCCGTGCAACTTTCACAAAGGGGAAAAGACTCGAAATTTATGGGTTGATGCTTGGTCACGATCAGGGTGTGTAACTGATCGACACAAGTTAACGAATTGCTCAGAATCCACTAAGCAAATCAATAAATTTGTTAAGCAAACAAGCCGAATGAACCAACTCGGGGTTTTGTATTCATTCATCAAAATCTGAGTTTACGACGTGAAGTAAAGGCCTCGAATAAATCTAGCTATGTCTAAGAAAACTAACAAGGAAGTTCTTAATACAGTACAATTCGAAACGGAGTAAAAAACTAGCAAAAGAAAGGAATCCGTAAGCCACAAGGAAAAGGAAATAGTATTGTGGTGCAAGTCAGAAATCATGCTCCATTCGATCTTGCATGCCTTCAATCAAAGTCTTAGAGGTAAGTTTTCGCTCATCCAATTCCTTTTCTTTGTAGAAGAAAACACACACTTTCATGTGGTGTAGCCCTCTTGCCTCAACTCTCGCTCATCTAGAACGAATAGAGCAACAAAGAAGGCTCCAGTTTTTGAGGTAGCAACTTGAGGGCTTTGGAAGATGGCTTTAATGACTTGATTTGGACCAACCCATCCTTCCAGCTGGTAGATAAACAGTTCTTCTTCAATCCCGTACTTCCTTTTTTGTATTTTCATAGAGCCATTTGGAAGAACCAAGCTGGCAAAGTAGGTATCCTGAAACAGACAAAGTACTTAGAAAAATTTTAGGGTTCTTGTTGCTTTGTGAGATTGCTTCTCAGTCAAGCAATTCTAAAGTGTAGATTTATTTCTTTCTTGAATTCTTACTATGGTTGCCGACGATCGATGGGATCTTTTGATCTTGTTCTCGAGGCAACTGGTCCTCAAGCCTTAGGTCTCTCCACTATGTTTGAACCGAGCGTCTGATACCACTTGATGCAACCCTTAAGGCTTGATTTGAATCAGAGCGGCTCATCCAAGGTTCATCCAAAGATTGAATTGAACCTTCGAATAAGAACACAAACACAGAGGTAGCTTTTGTGTTTAAGATGGAAACTTCCGTGAAACTTTCACAAAGGGGAAAAGACTCGAAATTTATGGGTTGATGCTTGGTCACGATCAGGGTGTGTAACTGATAGACACAAGTTAACGAATTGCTCCGAATCCACTAAGAAAATCAATCAATTCGTCAAGCAAACAATCCGAATGAACCAACTCGGGGTTTTGTATTCATTCATCAAAATCTGAGTTTACGACTTGAAGTAAAGGCCTCGAATAACTCTAGCTAAGTCTAACAAACTAACAAGGAAGTTCTTAATACAGTACAATTCGAAACGGAATAAAAAAGTAGCAAAAGAAAGGAATCCGTAAGCCACAAGGAAAAGGAAATAGTCTTGTGGTGCAAGTCAGAAATCATGCTCCATTCGATCTTGCATGCCTTCAATCAAAGTCTTAGAGGTAAGTTTTCGCTCATCCAATTCCTTTTCTTTGTAGAAGAAAACACATACTTTCATGTGGTGTAGCCCTCTTGCCTCAACTCTCGCTCATCTAGCACGAATAGAGCTCCAAAGAAGGCTCCAGGTTTTGAGGTAGCAACTTGAGGGCTTTGGAACATGGCTTTAATGACTTGATTTGGACCAACCCATCCTTCCAGCTGGTAGATAAACAGTTCTTCTTCAATCTCGTACTTCCTTTTTTGTATTTTCATAGAGCCATTTGGAAGAACCAAGCTGACAAAGTAGGTTTCCTGAAACAGACAAAGTACTTAGCCAAATTTTAGGGTTCTTGTTGCTTTGTGAGATTGCTTCTCAGTCAAGCAATTCTAAAGTGTAGATTGATCAATTTCGGATCATATCATAGTAGGAGTATACTTACTATAATTTTTGACTTTCAACATTGTCTACCACAAGATATCACCCGCATACCAGGGTGGTATGGGGTGGTAATTTTTGGTATTGTATTTTTCCCCCAAAAATTTATAGATTCAATAGATCATGATGAACTCGTTCCTTCTTTGCAAATATTTTCAAATACAACATAAAAACGAACGATATACCATATGGTTTGGAGTTGGTAACAAGAGGCATTAAAAAAGTACTCAAAAAATATTGAAAATGGATCTCATTCCGTAGAGCAAAACGAACCCGTTCTATCTATGCAAAAAAAAAAAACCAAGTTAGAACGAATAGTATAAGAGCCGATTAAAAAAAATAGAGAAAATAAAAAGCCTTTAAATCTCAACAGTTATATTTTAAGTTTGATGGGTTCACTTAAATTCAATAGTACAGATTTAGTTATGAAATGGTGCATAACCAAACCTATCCTCAACCGTTAATCAGAACGGCAACTAGTGGTAATTGGTGATAAAAACTTCTCCAAATATATCGAAAATGGAAGTATACCCGAGAATAAGTTATTTGGTGGGCGCCGACTTTACACGAAACATTTATTGGGAGGTAGAGGAAAAAGGCTTTTACCTTCCCGGATATAGAGGAATACAAATTGGAGGGCCAACTATAGGAGAAACGCAAGTAGCTAAGCATCTCCTCCTTCCATTTGTCAAAAAGGCACAGTTGGAATCTAATAATTTGTAGTTTTTGAAACCCTAGATTTGTATGTATCAGAGTTGCTTAAAATTGAAGAACCAAGTTCTTGAATTATGGAATATTCTTGCGTCCAACCCCTGTTGGAGCTAGATGCTCCAACCTGCCATTTGGCAGCCCCATATTGGCCAACCAACCTTCCTTTTCCCTTATTTAATTATTTTTTATCCTTTAACATTGATCAAATTATGAATTAAAAATGAAAAAAAAAAAGCTTTGACGGAAACGGCAGAGAGACGGAAGGAAGCTGGGAAGGCAACTTCTGGATTATAATTTTTATGTATGTTGTATAATTTTATTTACTACTATTTTAAATTGATGTCAATTTTTCTCTTTTTTTCAGGAAGCAATAGCAAATTCTCATTTTGATGATGAAAATTTGTGACAAGATTTATGTTTCAACCGCCATGGATTATTGACTTCGTTTCTTTTATTCGGATATTCTATTTATGTTGGCACTGTAATACTAAGTATGGTGTTCAAATTTTTTTCAAATTATTTATGATATTGTGAGATATTTTTTCATATTTTGTACAATGGTCATATTAATTTGAAATTGTCAAAGTATTTCAAAATTTGAACGCATAAGTATTTCAAAATTGGTTGTAGTGCACGAGCAATTTTTCGTATTCTGTTTATTTTTGTTGGGGCCAAGTTTTCCTATAGAAGAACATATAAACCTAAGATATAGCTAATTAAATTATAATCCAGAAGTTGTCTTCCTAGCTTCCTTCCGTCTCCCTGCCATTTTCGTCCAAGTTTTTGTTTTCATTTTTAATTCATAATTTGATTAATGTTAAAGAAATAAAAAAATAATTAAAATAAGAGAAAAAGGAAGTTTGGTTGGCCAATATGGGACTGCCAAATGGCAGGTTGGAGCCTCTAGCTCCAACGGGGTTGGACGCAAGAATTTCCCATGAATTATCCGTTCGAAAAGGAAAGTTATTTCCTAGATATAGGTGACAAGATTGATGGTGGAGTCAGAAGTTGAATTTATGGGTGTTTCTGTTTAAAACATAACTATATAATTAAAAATCAATATATAATTAAAAATAATAATATCTCAGTAATTTAATCATAGAAAAAATATTCAAATATGATTTTTATAAACAATGAGAACATATTATAAATATACTGTGAGAATTATTCAGTTGGTGATGCAGAATAATTGAAATCATGCGCTCAACCATAAATCAAATTTATTCCCTTTGTCAAGAACTCAAGATCGACTTGGTGGCAATGAGTTAGTGGGACGGAATAATAATAATTTTAATTTTAATTTAATTTAATTTCGCTCATCATTTGTCTTGTCCTATTCAAAATTATTGTCACCAACATCGCATAGCGATACCACCATTACTTTTAATCTAACAGTCTCTCGGATTCTACTTACTCATCATAATCTTTCATTTACCATATTGCAAACACACGGCAGTAGCTTGTTACAATCTTCACCGATTGTAAAACCATATCGAAAGTATATCAAAAAAATCAGTAATAAAGTATTTTATGCTTAAACTATGATTTAACCGTGATTCAATAATTTCACTGGTACCTTACAATTTTTTAATCCTATCAGCGGTAACTTAGTTTGTTACTGCGCTTCATTTGTGATGATTACTTAAAAAAAAAGAAGGTATTCGTATTCTGTTTCCTCCCTCGAACCAGTTGTTTCATTCCAAGGAGTAGAATTACATTAACATTTTTCCAGTTACGTTGTAGCATTAAGTAGGTACAAATACAATGTAGTAAGGGATCTTTGATCGTAAGAAAAAAAAAAGAACAAGCAAAGCCCTAATTAGTTGGTACAACATTGTATGATGAAAGTAATTATCAGGTATATATTATTGCAGAGGATTAGGTGATGATGAAGAATAGATGGAGTAGGTGGGCTAGAACCAGATGGCATTTGCATGTATAAGCATCTGCTTGAGGGAGCCATCGAGGTGAAGGGACAAGATCTCTTTGGCGGAGCCGACGAATCTCCCTCCGATGAACACGGCGGGCACGGCGGGGCAGCCCAGACTTCTGAGGGCCCACTCCAGCTCTCTTCCATGGGCCTCGCGATCCAGCTCGTGGATCGCGGGGCTGGCGCCGAGCTCGTAGAAGAGCTGCTTGATGCTGTGGCACATGCAGCAGGAGCTCTTGGTGAAGATCACAGCCGCCTTCTTCGACGCCAACTCTCTCACTACTCTATCCATTTTTGCTAATTAATTAATTGTTTGTCTCTATAGCTAAACAAGGAGAGCAAGGGTGATGGATGGCAGTTGCTAGCTAGCTGTTGAGGTGCGTTGGAGAGTCCGAGACGATTCATCGCCACTTATTTATAATGGAGACGCAAAAACCTTATAACACTCCAAAAAATTTTTTTTTTGTCTTTTGTTTATGAATATTGAAGTAAGAGATAACGATGGACGTGAGAGACCAAATTAAGTGCATGCAATGCAAGAGGAGGAATCAATGGAGGAATGTGTACGTTATCCTGTAATGCAGTGGGGATGAGGATGGGGTGGATGCTTTCTGTTTGCGACGCGTCAAATCGTGAAAGAATTTTTGCCCCAAGTAAGCTATAGCGATGGAATGTCAACGAGCAATATGGCTGGCTATCCATGGACTACCTGGTTGCTTGAAAAGATTCGCCATTATAGTTTGCATTATGATCAACGACGTCTGTGTGTGCAGTGATGATCGATGTGGAGAATATTTGTGAGGGCTCTTCCAAACCAAAGATGCATGGGAATAGATATGGGAGCATATGATGACGCAATTATTCCGAGCTATATATCCAGTGTAAGTTATATATATTTGGGGTTTCTTAATTATATTTTGTGCTCTGATTTTTATTACCTTCAATTATTGTAGCCAAAAGGTGCATGGTGGCTGGGCCTGGGAGTGAGTGGGGGGAGAGATAGGTTCCTAGTGTGGTTGCGTGATATGTGTACTTTAGAGTTTTGAATTGGGTCATTTCCATCGATTCATCTCTATTGGGGATTTCAGAATCTAAATCCTGAGCTGATGTGGAGAAATATGAGAGTCTATACATTACATTCCCCAAAATATACAACTCCACCTTTCTTGCATTTCTAAAATCCAATCTAGGTATTGGCTCGGTGGGTTTGGATTGGTTTACGTCACAATTGTGTAGTCAAGTTTCTTATTGCTAGAGCCACTCACAATCTTTGGTAATTGATCCTCTAAAAGATAGATACAGATAGATGGATGACAAATAAGTTCTTCTTGCGCCTCAGAACGATAAAATCGAGTAGTGCGTTTGTCAATCTAGTATAATTTGTGTGAACAAACAAGCCAGATAATCATACATCGAAGAGAGTTGAATATCATAGATTCATTGAAATTGGACACATTAAATTATCGATGACAATTATAAGCTAAGATCACAATTGAAAAATAGAAGAAATTGAATAGTTGGAACTCGTATTTGAAATCAAATTCTAGGTTCTAATAGAGAGAATTCAGTTTCAAAGAGATAGACATTGAACATCCACAATACCTCCTAATCAACTTGAATTTGAATTTCACTTTACCCTTTTCATATCATAAAAAAAAAAAAACACTTGAACAAAAAAATAAGAATAGGGAAAACATGCATGTAAGGAACAAATAGATCAAGCACTAATCATGAGAGGTCATATGAAGAGGTGGTCAACTTTCAATTCTAGCTAGCTATTCATTTGTATTATATATATTTAATGTATGGAAGAAACCATATGACCAGAGAGCATGAGGAAGTTAAGACAAAGAAAGAATATGGCAAAATGTCAGAAGCAAAGTTCAAGCAATACAAGGTGAATATCCAGAGGAATGCCAACGCCCTACGAATAATTCAGCAGGCAGTCAACAAGGTTATATATAGTCGAATTTTTGGCATTAGAAATGCTAAAAGGCGTGGGAAGTTTTGCGGAATGAATTTCAAGGCAACCATCGGGCAATTTCCATCAAACGCCAAAATTTATGGCGTGATTTCGACAACCTATCAATGAAGGAGAATGAAAGTATCAAAGACTTTCATTTTCGTACAACACAGATAGTCAACCAGATCAAAGCCACTAGTGACATCATGGAAGAAAGGAAGATTGTGGAGAGAACTCTCCGCAGTTTATCTCCAAAATGTAAGCATATCGTGGCGTCATTGAGGAGACAAAAGATTTTTCAAAATTACCAATGACTGAATTGATGGGTTCACTCGTTGCTCATGAGCAGAGGATGAGGAAATTTACCGATCAACCACTTAAGCAAGTTTTTCAGTCAATATGGCCGAAACCAAGACTATCAAGCCGGAGCAAGACCATAGAGGAAAATCCGACGGCAACGACAACCGGTACTGCATTATCTGTATGAAGACAAGACACACGACAAAATTTTGCAAGTTCAAGTGCCAAAGGTGCAGGAATCCAAATCACTCCCAAAGGGATCGTTGGTTTCACAAGAAACAAGAAGATGATTAAGAAGATAATCAAGAAGATTAAGAGGCAAACTTCACTCAAGGTGAAGTGATCAATCATATTTCACTCTTGTGAAAATTTGCAACTGTGAATTGCAGATTAAGAGGGGTTGATGAAAGTAATCCGTCAATTCTCAAACTACTCGACAATAATTAAACTAAAATAATAGAAATAAACCTACCCACCATAATAATTAAACAAACTAAGTGGCCACAACTTGGATCAATCGTTGATTATGTGGCCAACAAGTTTGGTGTTGGAAGAAGAAGTCAAGACCAATAATCGGATCAACTTACAGCTTGGACAAAGAGATAAGCTAAGGCTAAAGAAAAGTAAATGATCACATGGATCTGCTTGCATGGGCCAAGGAAAATTAAGCATTAGTTCTTGTTAAATTATTTCTCATCTTTCAATTCTCGCTAGCTATTCATTTGTACTATATATATATATATGATGTATGGAAGAAACCATATGAGCAGAGAGCGAAAGAGCTAGAGATATATGTTGAGAGCTCTTTGTAAAGGCAACAATTGCCTAATTGTGTGAGATAGATATAAATATAAGAGTGAAACAATTTCCTCTATTATTGATTCATCTCACCATAATTCCGATGTGCCTCAGCAAGTTCGACCACATCAAATCACTGAACATTCTATACCATGGGGAGAATCAAGTGAGCCTTGACATCATCAAAATGTTAGCTTCCTCTCGATAGGCTTCTCTCAACAACAATGGCATTAAACTTGCCCTTGAACTTTCACCATCACTTGGACCTGAAGTAGAATCATCATTGTCATTCTTCGCATCAGTAAATGATGATAAACATTCTATAGTAAGATTAGAACACAACTTCTCTTACTGAAGCTTTTCCTCAAAAATCAATCCAATATCAGACAACTACTCTTGGGAAATGTCAGTAGTGTCCATACCCTCATCCAGTGGGCTCAAATAGAGTTCTATCTGACTTAAGGATTCAACCTCATGGTCATGGTCATCACTGTTAGCACTGTCATTGCGGTAGTAGCCATCATCATTGTCGTAATCTGATCACTGTCGTTGTTCACTGTCAGTATCCTATTGGCTGTCACAACCTACATTAGTATGTAGATCATATGATTGAGAAGACATGGGTGAATATCATCCACTGCCTACATTAGTATGTTCAACATGCATTAGTGTTGTCAATGGATCAGACATCTGAACAAGGCAGGAAGGAAAATGTCACATTACTAGAGTTGCAAATAAGTGGTACACCAAGTCACCAACTTGACATGCAAATCGCATATATATATATACCGGAGTCATGTTTGGAGTAAAGACCATTGCAATATTTTTTAGATTCATTTTGTTGTGTTCTTCTTCCTGAACAACATCCGTCATGAGATAACGACCCAATTGAGGAGTGCAGTTTCAGTTGGCTTCAATTGCTTAACCAGTTGAACGGAATCTTCTTCCATGCTGTATTGGAGAACCTGCTCGTGGAAAGCCCATCAAGCACTCCAGAAGGAAGTTCCTGAACCAGGCTTTTATGAACCCAGCTACACAATGCACATCAATGTCATCGGGGACAATTCCCCTGTTCAGTTGGTGTCTTACATGTTCCTCCTCACCGTTCTCTGGGTTTATGCGGAAAATTCCTACAGCCTACTCAAAAGGAGGAAAGAAAGCAGACTAAGACAAATAATTTTTAGGTTAAATACACTTGTATATCTAAAACTTTCATGGTTGTGCCAATAATATCCAAATTTCCCGAAATACCACTTATATCCAATTCCTTCACATTATTTAACGGTGTTTTTGGATATACAAGTGTATTTAACCAAAAATATATTGGGAAATTGATAGATTTGTCAAAGAACAACTTTAAAACATGGATATAAGTGGTATTTCGGGAAATTTGGATATTATTGGCACAATCGTGAAAGTTTTGGATATACAAGTGTATTAAACCTAATTTTTAAGAAACGAAACTAAGCATTTTGCGAGCTACCATTGAAGTAGTAACGTCATTTATACCTTAAGACCATCCTATTTATACAATCTCTGCTGCATTTGTAGAAGAATTATTGGGATGCTATTTCCCTTTGAGTCATATCAGCATTGCATTGACTCTACCGAGACACCAAACACACTAACACTGCAAAATTGATTAAACCAAAGATAAGACTACGCCCATTAAGCAAATCAGGAATGTTCTTGAAAGGGAGAAATAATTTTCCATTTGGTTCAAAGAACCAGCACAAGATATTGATAGTAGAGTAAATAACAGAGATTTCAGACAAAATGAAAAGCCTAGCAGCCTATTGACCTGTAGTTCTGTAATTTAAAATTTCGAAAGACCTTTTAACTGGGAAAGAAACCGACCTTCTTCCCTCCTTTGGGTTGTTCTTTTTTCTAAATTGCAAATCAGAACTAACATCCTTCTTTTGATAATTAAGCAAGCATTCGTTCTCCTAATCGAGCAAGCCCAAGATAAGGCTAAGCCAACAAGACTACAAGAGTGCCTATAGCACCAACTCCTAACTAACAGCCGAGAGGTAACCGTAAAACTTTATTTTTCAATAATGCATCTATGCTCAGTCTCCAACAAAACCTTTATTTGGAGAGCCAGAAAAAGAAGCCAATCACAAAAGAACTCAGCATTTCCACCGTGGAGATAAACTAGGAGATCCCCTGAAGATGGTTGAACTAAAATTTTAGTACCTGGTGCTAGGGACTCTTAAAGGAATTTCCACTTCGAACTCCATCGGAAGACCCAAAAACGCGTTGAATCGATCAAAGGTAACATGGGTAATGTGCTGAAGAATGGCAGCACCGATTCCACTAGTTGT